TTCAAAGCACAAAACATCTCTGATTAAAGATTGCGTTGATGTTGCCCAAGCAAGAGATTATTTAGAATCCAGATCCCATTAGGAAATCAATTTCGAGCCTTTTAAAACAATCCATGATGTTTCGGAAATGCTTTTGGAACTCTTGCTTCAGTATTCAAGCCCGTTTTGTCCTTTCCAAAATTTAGCTTCATCAAATGGAAGTGGACATGCGGCCTGCAGTTTTTGATTATACAGTAAATGACGCATTAAAGATTGTGTTTCCAGGTCCTCTTGATTATCGAAACGTGATTAATTTCAGTTGAACTTGCCTCCTTTTGCTTTTGCCGGCCAATGTGCGTGAATATATATAATTTATGTCCTTGTTTTCCTCCTGTGCGTGCCGACTGTGTGTATAAAGTCAAACAAATTTGGACCGTGCTGCTTGCACAAATCGGTACAAGATCTGTGCAAGCCAATGGGTCTTGGAGTGGGTGGGTTTATTAACATTTGAGGGGTTTTTTAATGAGGTGGGTCCTCCACCTCATGTGAGAGGATCTGTTCAATATCGATTTGGTTCAAGATCGGTGCAAACCGATATGTTCAAATGGCATTTTCCAACAAATTTAGCCTTGTTAAACAATTTCAACCTTGTTTTTTGTCACTTTCTGCCGTAATAATTGACTTCTTCTCCTTTTTCTTTTATTCTTCTCAATTGGCTGATGTTTCTCCTTATGCGGGACAATTTCAACGCATGAATGTGTATATTTTCAACCAAAAGTGGCTGCCTCCACTCTATATTAATTCAGCTCCTATCTCTTCATTCTAGAAATTGCCGCCGTTTTTTTTTTTCCACGTTTATGTATCCTCCTTCCTCAACTTGTAGGTATAGATGTATGTACATATATCAAGGCAAACGGGGTATCTTTTCTAAATTTCAGCCCAATGTTCTCTTTGTATATATGTCTAGAGAAAATTACAAAAAATCAGGTGTTTGAACAATGATTTTTAAAAATCAGGTTTAAAGTTTAATTATTCAAAAATCAAGTAATAATTTTATATTTTAATTAATATTAAACTTAATATTATTAACCATAATTTTATCAATTCCTCAATTCTCCCCATCTCTCCC